ATAAACATTAGAATTATATTTTCCCACAGATGAATGATATCAAAGAAAAGGTTAAAAATATTCATGGTTATATGAAAGACATTGAGAATTATATTCAAGATGGGAAAGATGACTATAAGAAGGTAATTTAAAATTTAAAATTATTTATTTGTTTATACTTTTATTTCTTGTGCTTAAAGAATATTCTTTTTTGTAGCAAAAAGAAAATGAACTTAATAAAGTAATAGCTCAACTAAGTGAATGCGAGAGACACAAAGAAAATATAAATAAAGAAATGGGAATCATGAGACAAGATATTGATACACAGAAGGTAGGTCTTTTTTGCTAGTGGCTTATGATACCATACCAATAACATTCTTCTGTTTATGTTTTAATTTCTACTTTTGTTTTCAGTAGATCCGTTGAGTAGAAATGCACACAGTAGAGAAAAGCAATTCTAATAACATAGCCTTTTCTTCCTTTTTTCCAATTTTATTTTTAATAAAAGACCCATTTGGTAAAAGTATAAACATAAAAGGTTTTATTTATTTATTTAGTTTAGAGAGAGCGTGAGCAGGGTAGAGGGGGAGAGAGAATCTTAAGCAGGCTCCATGTCCAGCATGGAGCCCAGTGCAGGGCTTGAGCTCATGCACCTGAGATTATGACCTGAGCCAAAACCAAGAGTCAGACACTTAACTGACTGAGCCACCCAGGCACCCCAAAGCTAATTTTAAATATAAATATTTAAACAAAGAGAATTTAAATTAAAATTTTCTCTCCTCTTCTGCCTATTCTCAGCTCACTCCTAGATGTCATTACTGTTAACAGTTTTTTGTTTGTTCTTAAAGAAGTTTCTTACTCATATCAGCAGGTAGATAGATCAATAATATATCTGTGTGTATGTGTATATTTACTTTTATGTATGAGATCATACTATTCATATTCTGCACCTTGCTTTTTTCACTTAATGCAATTTGATCTTATATATCAAGTCAACTCACAGATCCACCATGTTTTTTTTTTAATAATTTTGTATACTTATATTAAGAGTTCATGACTTTTTTTTTTAAGATTTTATTGATTTATTTGACAGAGAGAGCACAGGCAGGGGGAGCAGTAGAGGGAGAGGGAGAAGAAGGCTCTCCGCTGAGCAGGGAGCCTGATGCGGGGCTTGATCCCAGGACCCTTGGATCATGACCTGAGCTGAAGGCAGATGCTTAACTGACTGAGCCACCTAGGCACCCCCACCATATTCTTTTTAATGATCACGAAATACTCCGTTTTGTGGGTGTGCCACAAGTTGATCACTTTTTTCTTACTGCAAATGGTGGCAATGAATATCCTACATATATTTCTATTTTTTTCTCACTTTCTTTCTTAATGTAAGATAAATTCACACAAAACAAGGATGGAAGTATAATAATCATAAAAGTTGTAAGTAAGATATCTATATATTTCCAGTCATTTTTCCGTTGATTCCTATATCATTTTCCCTATTAAGGTAATTAATTTCTACCATTATAATTAAAATCACATTGAGAAATTATCATCATTCCTTTACACCATTTCTCTATTCCTGCTGTTATTAACAAAATTTGCTATATGAACACTTTAATCATTTGGTCATAAATGCTGATTTAAAATCTGTTTGAAGATTAGCCATATCAGCTGTCTGCAGGGCCCCTGGCCATAGTGCCAGGTATTTCAAATATATGAATATTAGAAGTAAATTTCTGCCATCTAGGGGTGCCTGGCTGGCTCAATTGGTGGAGCATGTGGGTCTTGAGCTCGGGGTTGTGAGTTCAAGCCCCATGATGGGTGTAGAGATTATTTACGAATAAAAAAATCTTTTTTTTTTAAGATTTTTATTTATTTATTTTAACATTTATTTGAGAGAGAGAGAGTGCACATGAGTGGGAGGGGCAGAGGGAGAGAAGATCTCAAGCAGACTCCACAATGAGCGTGGAGCCCACTACAGGGCTCAATCTCACGACCCTGAGGTCACGCTTGACCTGAGCCGAAATCATGAGTCAGACATTTAACCGACTGTGCCACCCACGCACCCCAAGTTCTTTTTTTTTTTTTTAAGTTATCTCTACACCCACCATGGGGCTCAAACTCATAATCCCGAGATTAAGAGTCACCTGCTCCACTGACTGAGCCAGCCAGGTGCCCCTAAAAAATAAAATCTTAAAAAAAAGAAAAAAATCTCTGCCATCTAATAAATGCTGAGTGACTGTAAATTTATGATGGCATGTATAACGAGATAGTTATTCCTCACTTATATGTGGGTTGCCTATTTAAAATCACAGTCTGTAAATCATTAATGTCTCTCCATGTATAAACATACACAGAGATCATTAAGATTTACCCATCTGTGACCCTTTACTAGTTGGTGGTCTAAACTTCGTGGATCTGAATGTATTAGTTTACTTTTGTAATCTGCCTTGTTCTAGAAATTATTTAATAAGTTGTATACATAGAGCAATGCCAAATAACATTTTAATTTAGTGGGAAAATGAGACAATATGAAAATAAGGATAAGAAGGTAAAACCAGGAGAGTAGTTAAGTATATAAAATGTAGCCCATGAAATGTGACACACTTGCCAAGGATTCTAGTAGTCACATGAAGATAGGAAGTCACAATTAGTTAAGATTTACATTGTCTCAGAGCTGAAAGGAAACCAGTTACGCATATTAAAGACCAGAGAAAAATGTTTCCTGTAGACATTCTTGGAAAGGAGGACACTGTGTAGATTAATAACACTATGTCTTTAACAAACCTCATGGGGCTTTTTCTTCTTTTTTTTTCCCCCCCCACAGTGTGTTTCAGCATCTTTTTTTTATCTTCCCTTAATGAGGGTCTTCAGCAGGTCATGTGATTGAAGCCTAAAATAAATGTTGGAGTGTTTTAGGGAGCAGAGGTTAGCTAGAGGTACCCATCAGAATCACCTGGGTTTACCACTCCTAGGTATACAACCAAGAAAATTTTAAATATGTTCACATAAAAACTTGTACAAGAGTATTCATAGCAGCATTATTCACATTAGTTAAAATATGGAAACAACCCATATGGTTATCAACTGATGAATGGATCAGTGTGGTATATCCATTATGTATTAGGTTCTCCAGAGCAACAGAACCCAACAGGATATATACACATACACAAATTTATATAAAGAAGTTTATTATAAGGAATTGGCTCACATGATTATGGAGGCTGAGCACTCCCGGGATCTGTAGTTGGCAAGATGGAGACTCAGGGGATCTGATGGTGTAGTTCTAGTCTGAGTTTCAAGGTCTGAGAACTAGGAGACCGAGGTTTCAGTTCAAGTCCAAAGGCAGGAAAAGACAACTGTTCAGCTCCTACATTCAGGCAGGAGCAGTTACCTTTTACTCGATGTTTTTGTTCTATTCGGGTTGCCGTCAGTTGATATGAGGCTCACCCACATTAGGGAGGGCAGCCTGTTTTAGTCATTCTCCCAAATCAGATGTTAATTTTATTCAGAAATACCCTCCAGGACACACACAGAATAATGTTCAACCAAATGTCTGGGCACACTGTGGCCCATCTGAGTTGACGTGTAACATTAACCATCACATCGTAAAAGGGAATATTATACAGCCATGAAAAGGAATGAAATAGTAATATATACTACAACATGGCTAAACCTTGAAAACATGCTACGTGATGAAAGAATCCAATCACAAATGACCACATACTGTATGATTCGATTTATATGAAATGTGAATATCCAAAGGGACAAAAAGCAAATTAGTGTTGCCAGGGGTTAAGGGAAGGAGAGAGAAAGGGAATAGATTGACTGCTAATGTGTACTTGGTTTGTTTTGGGGGTGTTAAATGTTCTGGGATCAGTGGTGATGGTTGCACAACCTGTGAATATACTAACCTCTGAATTACACACTTTAAAATGGTGAACTTTATGGTATATGAATTACTTCTCAATTAAAATCACCTGGGCTATTAAAAATATACATGTTTATGTCTCCATTACAGGCCAATAAGTCAGAATCTCTGGGGCAAGGGCAGAAGCAACTATGCCTTGTTAAAGTTCCCCAGGGGTTCTGATGTAACAGTCACTGAGCCAGAGCATTGCAGAACTTTCAGGCCATCCTCTGTAATTAATGGCATTTTCCCCAGCTAGACTTCGTAGATCTTGAACTGCAGTCAATTCAGTGTGCTACTCCATCACAGTTACCTAGAATGCAGCTAATTTTTAGGTTTGCTTTAGGTACCCCACTGCATACGTTAACTGTCATCTGAGCTAAATATTTTGAGCCTAACAGTACCTTCTTTACATGCTTGAGCTCTACTAAATTTAGTCCACAGAATAAGAAATTTGGAAGTTAAATAATCTCCTTCATTTTTTAGATGAAAGGAACTGGAGGTGACCTGCCTTGCCTGAGGTCACAAAAGTAGTGAGTAACAGAAGTAGAACTTGACCTAACATTGCCAGATTGCTAGTATTACATACAGAAAAACAATTCTGTTGTATTTTAATTGTATCTGGCTTTCTTTCTTCTTTCTCTGATACTTTGTATTTTGTAGACTATAATTGGAATTCTCACTGCTTAAAATACAAGGACAGATTTGATCCAAAAAGCATTTCACTATCAATTCCTGAGCTAGGCACTGTGTTGATTACTTTACACACAGGCTCACTCATTTAATCTTCACATCAGCATTATATGACAGGTGGTATTATCATCACCATTTATACAAGTAAACAGGCTCAGAATTTAAGCTAATTTGCCCAAAGTCATCAAATTTGAAAGTTGTAATGCTGGGCGCCTGGGTGGCTCAGTCGGTTAAGCGACTGCCTTCGGCTCAGGTCATGATCCTGGAGTCCCGGGATCGAGTCCCGCATCGGGCTCCC